TGAAATATTACTACAATAAATAAAATAACTGCTATTTTAATATTTTTTTAATGTAATTTATTAATTTGATGGCAAAGCTGAATTTTCAGCAGCAAATACTTGATTCTTCAGTGTCACATAATCCTATTAAATTATTTTCAATGTTGACAACAGCTGTGCTGCTTAATAGATTTTTGTGGAAACCGTTATACATTTTTTCCCCAGAATTCTCTGATGAATAGAAAGCACAAAAGAACAGCATTTATTTGAAACAGATATCTCTTGTAATAAAGTGGCTTTATTGTCACTATTGATCAACTTAATGCATCCTTGCTGAATAAAAGTATTCATTTACTTCAGGAAAATATACCTTACTGACTCCAAACTTTTGAATGGTATTTTACATTCAAGTTTGCATTCGATATTCCAATAAACAACACAGAAACTCCATTTAAAATTTTTTTTACGTACTCTTCTATGTTTCCCAGCAAGGGATGCGTTTTAGTGTTGATGTGTTTGGAGAAACCAGGGGGTACATTCTAGAGGTGTTTGGGGCCCACTTTGAGCTGCCTGACCTGGGTCCTATAGGTATGTACAACATAATTTCTTTTTTAATGCCTTTGAATAACAAACTTTCATAAGCTGCTGGGAAAAGTCTATTAATTTGGTTGTGCATTGCAGGGGCTAATGGAATGGCTAACCCTAGGGACTTCCAAACACCTGTGGCTTGGTACGAAGACCGTACTGTAGCCACAGGTTACACCGTTGTCAACAAGTACCAAGGAAAGCTCTTCTCATGTCAACAGGTGCCGTGAAATGATTGCGTCAGTAGTAATTCCCATTGCTAACATCAATGAGGCACTGAATGTTAGATTACACACAAAATGTACAATTTGTACATGCAGGATAGGTCTTTAATAAGACCGAGATTTCAAGCATCATTCTGCACTGAATTTATTTCCCTCTCTTGACGAGTGAATAATTGACTTGTTATGGCTGTCAGGAGCAAATTAGAGACAGCAAAAGTAGCATCACAAGGCAGTATCACTCATTGTAATGAAAAATTTAAAAAAATGCAGAGAGAGCACGCATCTATAGTTGAGCGCACAGGTCTCGCCGTCTGTACTCTCTTAAATGGTTTACGGTCTGTCTTGAAGGAGAAGGTACAGCCTTATCCTGTTGTTTTGTCCTCCAACTGAGTGCTAAAATTGCTTAAATTAGCTTATTATTTGCTTGACTGGGAAAATATGTTTGTGTTTTGTGTGTATGAGTTTTTTTCTTCATTTTAATAGAGTTTGGTAGAGTTATCCTGTGAACTGTTATGCCTGTGAGATTACAAATCTCGGGGTCCCAGAAACCCCAGGGTGCACGGAGAGCGTCTTTGTGTGACTGAATGTAACTGAAAAAACAGTCATGTTCTTGTTTGAGTCGCTGGATTTGTGTTTGTGTGTACAGTTGTGACTGATGTCTTACCTGGCGTGTGTGTTTGTGTTTGTACATGTGGGGGGGTTGAAACAACAGGAGGGCGCATGAGGGTCAGGACAGCAGGCAGTCTCTGCTGTAATGAATTATATTGATTTTGAAGGCAGCATTCAAAATCTGTCCGCTGCAACATTATCAAGCGAAGGGTGTATAAAATTGCGGTTTTTAACGAAGACATTTCTTCGCCTCGTAACCTACTATTTCAAGTGCAGGAGCGTCAAAACAAAACGATGCCGTTTAAACGCTTTATTATTGAGGGCATTGATCGGACGTTAGTGTTTCGCGTTTGACATTACTATTGATTATTTACTCAAAGCCTACAGAAATTCATTACGTGGTGTATTATTACAGTACCCATGTTTTGTCCTTTTAAATGTGTTCAAATAGGACTTTTCGCCATTTAATGTGGTGGCATGGCACGGAAACTACACACCCTACAAATACAACCTGGAAAACTTCATGGTCATCAACTGTGTGGCGTTTGATCACGCAGTAAGTAATTTGCTTAATTTGACGTCTTAAAATCACTACATTTGAACTGTCAATCAAATTACCTGAATCTTTATTTCCAGGATCCGTCGATTTTCACCGTTTTGACAGCCAAATCCACACGTCCAGGTGTGGCCATTGCAGATTTTGTCATCTTTCCTCCTCGTTGGGGTGTAGCTGATCACACCTTTCGGCCTCCTTACTACCACAGTAAATCTGAGTTGTTGACTACATAGCCTACTTGTATTAAAACCAAATGAAATTTCATGCGGTTAAAGAGCGCCCTCTGTCTATGCTAACAGGGAACTGCATGAGCGAGTTTATGGGGTTAATCAAAGGCCACTATGAAGCAAAGGAAGGTTTCCAGCCTGGAGGAGCCAGTCTCCACAGCATCATGACTCCACACGGCCCTGATGTCGACTGTTTTGAGAAGAACAGCACAGCTGTTCTGAAACCAGAGAGAGTTGCTGAAGGCACTATGGTAATGTTCAAATGGTTAGTTTTGAAATACATCATGTAAAAGGCTAGATGACGTTCTAAATAATGCTGTATCCAACAGGCATTCATGTTTGAGTCATCCTTCAGCATGGCTGTGACCAAGTGGGGATTGGACACCTGTCACCGTCTCGATAAGAGCTACTATAAATGCTGGGAGGCTTTAAAAAATCACTTCAATCCAAACTGGAAACCCAGCAGCAAGTAGAACATGGTTACACCTCAACAGTCATCATAATATTTGTCTGACATGTGGATCAGTGATTCACAATGGTTTTATCGCTAGAATTGAGAGTGAACCAGAGATGTTCTGTGATAACAAAATAAAACATGCTATTGGAATATAACCAATAAAACAAAACGGAGTGTTTCTGCAGGTTTTATAAAGATACATTTTAGACATTATAAAGATCTTTTTTAAGAAAGTAAAGAAAATGTAAGGAACACAGTACATCAAAATGTAAATGTCTAGGGAGCACACCATGAGTTGTATTAGCAACACTTTAAAGTTTGAAAATACAACATTCAATAGGTCTACATTACTTTTTAATTAATTTACCAAAAAAAAAAAAAAAATTCCAAAACCATTAATATATGGAAATAACTTTTACTGTACATGTGTCCTTAGTATGTTTGTTTTTCAGTGCAAATGTCTAAAGATGCCTAAAAATGACAAGATAACAAGTCTTAAATCTTAAGTTGTATCTCATGCATCTGGATTTAAGGATGTTAGATATTATATATATCTAGACAATACTGAGAAAGACATTAAATTTTTAGCAATGCATGCAACATTTAATGCCATGATTTATACATCATGGCACCTTTATACATTTTTAGGATGTTCTGCTCTGACCTTTTTACAGCCTTAATTTCAGACCTGCAGAAACCCTGTTGTGAAATTACAAAAATACTGTGTGATTTCTTATTTTTCTTCAATAACAGTGGTAAAGGAAGTTTCAACAATAAAGTATTTTATTTAGTATATAATTACAAGTACTCTGTGTTACAATAAACAGTGAAATATTTTTTTTTTAGGTTGACAGTTTATAGGGGCGCTCATAGGTCCCTGCCTTAATCTTGGCCTCCCTTTTGTCCTAAAAAGATGGGGAAAACAGGGTTAAAATGATATAACCACTGTAACTTTGACATCATCAATACTGAATAAGAAGTGAATTTATACAGCTTCAACTCACCCTGTCTGTTTTAAACACCACATACAAGACGAAAAGGGGGAGAACTCCAAACAAGCCACCAATCAATGAAGTTTTAGCAGTTGGTCTGAAGTAGTTGTTATTGGTGCGTGCATATGTCCACCGTGTAAGAGCAGGATCCTCCTACAAATAAAAACACATGGAGATTGATGACTAGATCAAACTGTTTAAATGTGTCAGGTTACCTTCTGGAAGTTTCAATAATGCATTTGTCAGGATTGTAAAAAATAATGTGGCAAACAACACACCCAGGAGGATGCATTCTGAATAAGAGTATAATCTGTTCGAAATTTAACAAATCACATCTTTTCACATAAAGACTATAGAGACATGTGGATCAAAACAAGCTGGTAGGCAGTAACGTTAACTGCTAGCCAGCGATCAGTGAAGGTCACTCACTGCGGATTCAATATAAAACAAACAACCTAGTTTTCTAAAAACATGAATGTAGACTAAATAATTAATTACTAAAACGTCATTAAATTATAAACTAGTACAATATGAAAAAACTGTCCATAGCTTAACTGTAACTGTTTTACCCCATATATGATATTTGGTTTGTCTTACAATCAGCTCTTTCCGATGAGGATTGTTCAGCTGCTGCAGATACTGCCTTTTCAGTTGAGCCCGCAGAGCCGCTCTCTTCTCCTCAGCCCGCCGGTAATCAGGTGAAAGATTGAAGTATTCGGCTGGATCTAATGTTTTTGGCCGAGTGGCCAAAGACGCCTCTTTGTAGGTCGCCATTACTGCGAACGGCAAAAAAAAACGCCCCGACAAAAAAGACAAATCTGATTGGCTGCGCGCTACATTCGCCAGTCTCGCGGTAATTCAGAATGTCTCGCCAAAGGATTTCTATGATACCCGATGATACCGCATCTAATTTCGAGTAAATCGGTGTTTTAGTTTAGTCATTAATATACTATTATAGTTTTTTTTAAATATTTTGAATTAGATTTTATTTATATTTTTAATTTATGTTTAAATAATTTAATTATTTTTATACGTATATATAGCTACAGGCCTATAGTTTTTATAGTATTTATTTATTTTTAGTTATTGTAGTACTTCAAACTCAAGCGAAAAGGAAAAGCTTGTGAACTTGCTGAAATATTGATTGTTGTAATAATATGTAAATAATGTGTTAAAATAATAAGTTTTTTTTTATTTCAGTTAATGTTTATTTTATTTCAAGTAATGGAAATGTGTGTTTTTATGGTTTTAGTTTTAGTTAATGACAACCCTGCATACCGCTGTAAAATATTTTATTTTAGGAGAGGATAAATAATATATTTAAAATGTATTTGACCACACAAAACTAGTCGAAACACATGACCTGCTTTATTTATTCAAATTAATAAAGCAAATCAGATGTGCAATATATTATTAGAGCTGCATGATACAATTCCACCCTCAGATGTGATCCAGATGTTGGCTCACCACTGGATCCTGACTGATCTGAGGAATCTCACAAATATCACGCACAGAGAGACAGGCAAAGTCCTTCTGGTCACTCTCCGACAGCCTATCTATAGCGAGAAAAGTAGAAGTGTGGATACCCATTTTGACCAGTAGAGGGAGCTACAATGCAACAAAAGTGTTTATTCCATAAATAAAGCTGAATGAGGGAAAACCAAAAAGTCTTACCTCTGATAAATATGCAGCATTTGCTGGTACCCAAATTCCTCCATTCATTGATATACCTGAGAGACAAGCAAATATTCTAAATGGGATATTTTATGACTACCATGATGATGAAAAAGTGATGATGCCAAGTACAGTATATCACATCTAATGTGATATTAGCTCAATTACTCATCAAAATTGAGAGCTTTGGTCCATTCGAGCAGCTCATCTACGTCCTGCTCAGAAACTGAATCTGGTCCAATCTGTTCAAAGGAATCCATCAACTCTGTGGATTTTTGCACCAGCAGAGCTGTTTCGCTGTGTTCTGTATGAGATTGCAGGAGACCCTCAGCATACCTGTGCACAAGATCTGTGTTTACTATTATTCCATCATTCATAACGTATTTCCAGTTTTCTCTATGATTAGCTCTGCAGAACACATCTTATCACCTATCACAAACAATTAAACAGCTACTTTAAATACATTTTTAAAATATGTTACATTTTTCTCATCCATTCAATTTTCCGAATCTTCTTTTTTCTTGCAACATCTTGTCGCCGACGGATTTTGCAGTGATGGAACTGTATCTTCTTAACATTGGTATCTTGAGTTATTGGGTCTTCAAACACAGAAATCTTTAATCAAAAAGGCAGTGATATAATGCTTAGGCAACATTTGTATATTTTTCTGACTGTTACAATTTCAATTGTACATGAAACAGTAGAAATGAGTCTCTTATGCTGACCAAGGCTGCATTTATTTGATCAAAAATACAGTAAAAACAGTAATATTATATTGTGTGAAATGTAATTAAAGGAGTGCAGTAATGGCTGCTGAATGTTTGGTTGGATATGTTTTATTTACTGAATTGCACTGATATACAAAATGTAAAATTAAAATGAAAGTATTATGACTGGATATGTCACCTTGCAAGACAAAATCCTCCAGCCATTGTTCTCTACCCGCTGGTACCACCCAGAGTGATCATCCCTGTCATTGATCATCAGTCGGCCATTATGAATCTGGCTTGGAGCAGGTTTCTTTAGCTGTGTGTAATCTTTAGGACTGGAGGCACACATGTCCACTATGGGTGCACGAGTGTATATTTTAAAGTAGATGTTTGGAGGATAGGTTGGCTGGAATTTTATAAACATTAGTAAGTAATTTGCAATTTGCTTATAATTCGATTTTCAATAACGTAACCTTCTAGAGCAGAACACAGTAACACATTACAGCATGTTCTTGAGTACAAATGACCATCTAATCATGGAAAGATAAATAACATCAACACTCACCCCACCCAGTCTGAATCGGATAAGTGCCCCTGAAGCAGCATCCAGAATATTAGCCTACAACAAAGCATTCAGGCATATGATTTAAAAAAAAAAGAGGAAAAACATCTCAATCTTCACACATGCATTGTAACAAACTTACCTCTGCAGGGTTAATAAATCTAAGAAGGAGACGTGGATCCCCTTGATTATGAAAGCTCACTAGTTTCTTGAGGTGCTTGAAAACAGCAGTATCCTACACGTGACAGACATAGTATGCACTACTTTTTTATTTACGCATTCAATTATATGTTGGAGAAAATGTAACATTAAAGTTGAGTGTGATCACTAACAACATGTGCCCTCCATGCTCGCTGGATGATCCTGGCTGCTCTGCTGAAAGCCGTTTCCAGCTGTGGGACAAGTATGACATTAGTGTCTGATGTAGTTTCCCCAGCTGGAGATGTTGAGTGATGCCTAAAGGGGAAAAAATGATTGACAGGTTTTTTTTTCTTCTATTGCTTGCTTCACTCATTTAGAAATGAGTCTGTATTTTGTTGTTGTTGTTGTTGCTGTTGCTGTATTTCATACCTGTCAAAAGAGTATGTGTGTTCAGTCATTTTCTTATTCATGCTAGCACATGCTGCTAAAGGATAAAAAGAGAGAAAAAAGTTTATTCTGTGAAACATTAACATGGATTTCAATTAGCCGAAAAGGAACAATTCTGAAAAAGAAAAAAAAAAGGAATAGAGAAAACATAACCTATAAATTATACTGTTTAACTGAGGCTAAAGCTCTGCACTGATTAAGCCTTTGCCATGTCAAGGAAAGGGAAATGGGTTTATTCAACTAGGATTATGATTATTTTATTGGATTATTAGGCTACATTTAACTCCATCCATATACTCAATTCAAAATTAAGACGGTTGGTTTTTATAAACCACTCAGCCCACAAAAATGTTACTTACTTGATCTCTGGAGTCCTCTTCATTCTCAAGAAACAGAATAGCCAATATGCTTCAAATACCTGAATTAAAATGTTTAATAGGTAGAAGGTGCTTAAAATAGGCAATGTATTAAAATAAAGCGTTTTATCCTTATGATATCTATAATATCGAAATCAAACCCATCCGGTGATTATCGAAAAGTAAACAAAATCGTGAACTGGATTTTCACAATGACATCGCTGAAGTCGCATCAAGTTGAAGTAAAAAAAACGTAAAGGGAGCTAAAACTGCAACCAAAGACTAAACTTAACATTGAAGTTAAATAATAAAGCCTAGACATACAGTATGACTCGATTCCTTTATTGGGACGGGTGACTGTACGCCTACAACAGCCGTTACCAAAGCAACGTGAAAACAAACTCATTTAACTCTATGTTAGAAAGCTAGAAATACGAGATTCTATCCAAAATACATTTTTTTAAAATGGAAAACTATGTGTCGACTAGGAGATTCATTTAACTAAAAGATTCTTTAAGTGGCCTTTTCAGCAGATTACATCGTTACGACAGTAGGTTGCGAAAAGTTAAGGATTGTGACATTGAATCGTTCACTAATTCGTAAAAAAAATAATACTCTAAATTCTGACCTTTGACGACAGTCATGATTTTTTTTTCTAACAAAACAGACCTACTGCTTGATCCGCAAACCTGTCAACCATTACTGAAACATCGATCAAATTAGTTGCATCACTCATATAACTGTTCATTGTACAATTATGGCAGGTTGTGTGACACGTAACAGCGTCGGCCTGTTTTAATGAGCTGCAATTAAGAGTTTCTGTGTTATTAGAGAACAAGTTTACTAAGACTAGAGTGTACTTGCTAATCAAATTTTAACATAGCAGTTAACCGTCTTGTCCAAAGTTAGTCATTTACAGTCATTTTTACAAGTGATCAATATTCTTCTACTTCGGTGTTAGAAAAAATACAATTTAGTCAATATATTAAATGTTCATAAATATAACTGTTTTAATGAAGACATTCAAGAAATTGCCTTACAAAAAGGATCTTACATATGTAGGCCTATGTTACACAGCATTTAGTAGTACTGTAGGTCAGTGCTGCAATTGACACATCTTATGGAGGTCCCTAAGGCTATAGGGGAGAAATGATGCCCCAACCCCCTCCCCTGCATAATAAATTACAATAAAAGATCAATTAAAATTACACTGAAAGCCACACACAAACATGATGCACACAAACAACAAAATTAAATTATACAGCAAATAAAATCAACTGTAAGGTCTTTTTTTTTTTTTTAAGAATGCTTAGTTCATCTGTGGTATGTCTTTTGCATAGATTGTGAGAGGTCCTGTGTTTGAACCTCAAATTAACAAGTCGCGGATGAGGATCAGCCACTGTTTTCAATAACACTTTCATACTTTTAACAATAATATCAAATGGACAGCAGACATCTGTTACAACATCTTCTTTACAGACTTAGCCATAATTAATGTAATTAATGTGGAATCATCAGTGTTGCGGGCACCAATATTAAATTTTTCTATTTTCTATTATTCTATATTTTTTCGGACTGTTAAAGCAGCAGTATTGAAAAAAATTCAAATACATATATTAAACATAGTTGGGGTTCAGTTTCTTGATTGGCAGCTTCTGACTATATAATGTCTGTCAGGAAAATAATGTATTGTGACTGACACGCTTTTCTTTCAAATGCCACAGTGAATGAAACAGCCAATAACCTACAGGAGGCAGGCCTCAATAAAAGGAATGACATATCCAAAATACATTTTTTTTAAATGGAAAACTATGTGTCGACTAGGAGATTCATTTAACTAAAAGATTCGTTAAGTGGCCTTTTCAGCAGATTACATCGTTACGACAGTAGGTTGCGAAAAGTTAAGGATTGTGACATTGAATCGTTCACTAATTCGTAAAAAAAATAATACTCTAAATTCTGACCTTTGACGACAGTCATGATTTTTTTTTCTAACAAAACAGACCTACTGCTTGATCCGCAAACCTGTCAACCATTACTGAAACATCGATCAAATTAGTTGCATCACTCATATAACTGTTCATTGTACAATTATGGCAGGTTGTGTGACACGTAACAGCGTCGGCCTGTTTTAATGAGCTGCAATTAAGAGTTTCTGTGTTATTAGAGAACAAGTTTACTAAGACTAGAGTGTACTTGCTAATCAAATTTTAACATAGCAGTTAACCGTCTTGTCCAAAGTTAGTCATTTACAGTCATTTTTACAAGTGATCAATATTCTTCTACTTCGGTGTTAGAAAAAATACAATTTAGTCAATATATTAAATGTTCATAAATATAACTGTTTTAATGAAGACATTCAAGAAATTGCCTTACAAAAAGGATCTTACATATGTAGGCCTATGTTACACAGCATTTAGTAGTACTGTAGGTCAGTGCTGCAATTGACACATCTTATGGAGGTCCCTAAGGCTATAGGGGAGAAATGATGCCCCAACCCCCTCCCCTGCATAATAAATTACAATAAAAGATCAATTAAAATTACACTGAAAGCCACACACAAACATGATGCACACAAACAACAAAATTAAATTATACAGCAAATAAAATCAACTGTAAGGTCTTTTTTTTTTTTTTAAGAATGCTTAGTTCATCTGTGGTATGTCTTTTGCATAGATTGTGAGAGGTCCTGTGTTTGAACCTCAAATTAACAAGTCGCGGATGAGGATCAGCCACTGTTTTCAATAACACTTTCATACTTTTAACAATAATATCAAATGGACAGCAGACATCTGTTACAACATCTTCTTTACAGACTTAGCCATAATTAATGTAATTAATGTGGAATCATCAGTGTTGCGGGCACCAATATTAAATTTTTCTATTTTCTATTATTCTATATTTTTTCGGACTGTTAAAGCAGCAGTATTGAAAAAAATTCAAATACATATATTAAACATAGTTGGGGTTCAGTTTCTTGATTGGCAGCTTCTGACTATATAATGTCTGTCAGGAAAATAATGTATTGTGACTGACACGCTTTTCTTTCAAATGCCACAGTGAATGAAACAGCCAATAACCTACAGGAGGCAGGCCTCAATAAAAGGAATGACATGAGAATTCACCATTTCAAAGCCTCAAGATCCAGAAAATATATATGTATAAAAAACTAATGAAACAGTGCATTGTACTGTATTGTAAATACATTCATAATGAAATCAAACATTGTTATCCTCAAGCACTAAAGTATTCAAAAATCCATTATATTTAATTTATAACAAGAAATATGAAATCAACATGGTCTTACGGTTCTGATATAATTATAATTTCTTCTGTTCATATACAATCTGGATTTCTAGTTGTTTTTACAATTTAGATTGGTTTGACAGAGGCCTAATTTTGCTGCAGCTTTGTCATAGAAGACCCTATGCTTAGACCCCCCCCCCCCGGTAACATGATGGAATTGAACAACATACAATTCTCTCCTCTAAAGTTCTGTTTCTACCGCATCACCATTATCAAGATAGTATTCATCATCGGTTGTGGTGTCAGAATCAGACTCCTCAAAAACAGTCATGCTGGTTGTGTAGCTCCTTGATGACAGGATTCCACGAGGAGGAGACAGATTTTCTGGAGTTGTCCATATGGGGGAAGACACAGAAGGAGCCTGGGATATCCGACGAGGTGAAGAGGACATAGTTGGAGATGGAGGTGGGGTTGGGTCTGCATCATCATGATCAAGATCAAGATTATCTGTATATCCAGATTGAGACTGTTTACCAGTGATAGGTTTTGCATCATAGATTGGGGAATGGCTACTACTCATTGGAGAGTCAACTATTGTATAATTCCCCTTTGACTGAAAGTCATCCAAACTTGAGAGGTCGCTGATGCTGCTTGTTGAGATTCGTCCAGGACCTGATGGGCGGCTTGAAACCACACTGCTTACTGAGAAAGATCGTCCACTGTGTAGACCATACTTTAAATCAGCACATGATGAGGACAAGCGAGACCTCACAAGGTTTTGCTGCACAGGACTCTTGGTGGCGCTCTGAGGAGAGAAGTCATCAGACTCACAAAGTGAATTAGTTTTTTTGCTCAATGGACTATAAAACACATTGTCATTCTGAATGTCTTCTGAATCAAAATCAAACAAATAAAAGGGCGATGAGGGACCGACAGAGGATTTTCTGTAATGTGGCAAGGTGGCAGAACGATTCATACTTTGGGCCTTTTGCCTATGTGGACTAAAGCTTCTACCATAAGACCGGTTTCCATTTTCATCGCTATGCCTCTTTTGCTGATCAACATTTAATTTATTCTCAGATGATTTCTTTAATGTTAAGGGTGACAAGGACCCAAAAGAGGCTTTATCGGTGGTCAAAGATGAGTTGGGGGCCATCCATGTGCACCCAGAACCCTTTTGTTCAGTTGTAGATCTGTTTTGCCAGTCCATATTTAAAGTATTCTCAGATTTCCTGCATGTAAGTGGCGACAAAGACCCAAAAGAAGCAAAAGAGCCTTTATCGGTGGTCAAAGATGAGTTGGGGGCCTCCCATGTGCACCCAGAACCCTTTTGTTCAGTTTTAGATCTGTTTTGCCAGTCTATATTTAAAGTATTCTCAGATTTCCTGCATGTAAGTGGCGACAAAGACCCAAAAGAAGCAAAAGAGCCTTTATCGGTGGTCAAAGATGAGTTGGGGGCCTCCCATGTGTACCCAGAACCCTTTTGTTCAGTTGTAGATCTGTTTTGCCAATTAATTTTTAACGTATTCCCAGATTTCTTTAATGTAAGTGGCGTCAAAGATGCAAAAGATGCTTTATTGGTGGTCAAAGATGAGCTGGGAGCCTCCCATGTGCACCCAGAACCCTTTTGTTCAGTTGTAGATCTATTTTGCCAGTCCATATTTAAAGTATTCTCAGATTTCTCTAATGTAAGTGGCAACAAGGACCCAAAAGAGGCAAAATATGCTTTATCGATGGTCAAGGACGAGTTGGGGACCTCCCGTGTGGACCCAGAATAATTTATTTCAGCCTTAGACTTATTTTGTCCACTCATATTTAATGTACTCTCAGATTTCTTTAATGTTAGTATTGACAAGGAACCTAAAGAGGTTTTATCAGTTGTTAAAGAGGAGTTTGAGGGTGCCGGGTGGCTCTCAGAACATGTTTTCTCCTCTGTCTTGGGACTTTCAAAAGTCTCAGTATCTGAGGGGTGCTGAGTGGGACTCTTGTTCTTTTTTGGTAGTGTGTCAAGTGAGCTGTCTGAACGTTTGACACCAAATGTCAGTTTCAAGCGATTTAACATCTGGTCAATCCTGCTGCTCGTTCTAAACACTGGCAAATGTCTTTTGGTTTTTAAATACTGGGGACTAACAACCTCTTTGTCTGGCAAAGAAGCTGAAGAGAAGACAGCTTCTTTGTCTTTCTTAACTCGTGAACTAAAGAGGGCTTTTTTTGAATTGGAACTTTGCATTTCCTGCAATCTCTCATGCATATGCACAGCAGGAATCTCTTTCTCAGCTGTCAGTGGAGTCTCACTTTCTACTGTGAGCTTATCAGGTAATAAATACTTACCTTTCTCACTCAGCTTGTGCTTGGGGTATGCATTACCCTTATCAAGCTGAAGTTCCATCAGGCCATCATGCTCCTGATGAAAGAAGTTGTTAGAGCCTGTGTTGGGCTGCCTTGGGTGTGGGCTTATATTAGCGCTTTGGCTTTCCATGACAAAACTTGCATCTGGTGCAGTTTGTAAGAGGCATGGCTGGGCAGGTTTGTGATTATCTAGGGCGCTTGTGTAAGCTTGAACTGCTGTCCTCTGTTCTCTGTTAGAAGAAGCAAACTGTTCCTTTGGTCTTCTTATTATGCTTGTGTATGTGGACAGTGAAGAGCTTGGATCACTTTTTATGAAGTCTGCAGGAGTGGTTACAATATCATAAGATGTAGATTGGGTATGAGTTTTGGGCACAGGTGGAGAGGGTAGTTCTTGTAAAGTGTTGTTGAGTGTAGGTCGTGAGGAGATGAGGCTAGAATATGGAGATGTACTGAGACGAGGTGCTGATTTTCGTCCAAAATCAGGAGGCAGAGATTGAGCTGGTGCTATATGAGAGCCATAAGAGCTTCTTTGTAACACTTGTACCTGTGGCACAAATGGGTTGAAGTCAAATGAAAATTTTGAGGGAAGTGTTTTCCGGTCACCCTGCAGTGTTACGCCTCTATCTTGCTTAGGAGGCGATGTTTCACCTCTCTGTATGTGGGAAGAAGGGGTGGAAGGGGAAGGGGTGGACACCACCGGGCTGTACTCCCGTAGGTATGAATAAATGCTCGGTACTCTTACACTTCTGAGAGGTCTGCTTGGAGAAAGAGGGCTCGAAAGATCCATCGTGCTTTGACTTGACTGAGAATATTTCTTAGAGTCCAGATATATATTTGTGGGACTTGTTCCATCTACAGAAGAGTCTTTCCTGGGTGAGTAGTTGAGCCTGTCTATGAAGGTGCTTGTGCCCGAAGAACTGCTGGCTATTATATTGTGTGTGCTTTGTGATTTAAATTTTTGGACATTAAAGCCAGATTGTTGAACATTAAAATTTGTTGAATCTTTGGGAGAAATTGTGGTATCTGGAGATATTTGTTGTTTGGTCATATTGGAGTATTGCAGGTTGGTGTTGTTGGCAGTATTTTGTTCCACTGCATCTGTGTCTTCTGTACTGGAATATTCCCTCAAAAGAACTGAATAAGAACGTTCTTGGGCTCTGAGAACCCCAAGTTGGCTGGTTTTGGTTGTGGAGTGTGGGAAATGTTCCTCCTCTGCTTTGGCAATAGAAGCTTCTAGTCTCTTTGAAATTTCTGTCTCTGGTTTGTTTAGAAACAGTGATGCCCTTAATGGCACTCTACTCCTAATTCTAGGTGAGAAAGGGAACTGACTGACTGGTATTTTCTCTGTTCTTGCAGGAGTGTCTGGGTATTCGGGGGTTTGGGCATCAGCGGTAACAGGATGGGCAAATGATGGAGTTTTCAGAACAACTCTGCTAGGCAACGTAAGGGACCTGACAGACCTAGTCATCTGAGTCTCTGATTGTGTGGGCTCAGCACTGGAGTTTCTCAAATTTGACCTCCTCAAGGAAAGAAGTAGGCTGCTTGTTGTTGGCTTAGAGCTCAATGATTTGAAAGACTCATGTTCATCTCCAGTGTTTGATATTCTGTACCCTGAATGGGCCAAATTTGGTACCTGACGAGTGTCCAGAGGTGTGGGAAAAGGATGCAAATCTGCATTATTGTACATCATGCCCACAGAGGAGGACTCGGTAATGGGTCTCTTTGGCTGTATTTTGGTTGTGAAGTTCGGGGAATTGTTCTCTTTTTGCCAGTCAGGAGAGATATAGCTGGTTCCTGCAGCCAACTGCATGTCATTGTCATTGGCCAACATGTGTTCAGATGGTCGCCTCTGGGAAGGAAGAAACGGTTGTTGCTGCCGATCCTGGCGAAATAAGGTAGATGGGTTCATATTCTGTCCACAATCTTGGGGTTCATGCTGTACTTCGTTTCCGCCTTGCTTGGGTCTTCGAAGGCGGCCACTCCAAGGTGGAACAAGAACTGAGGCCAGGGCTGATGACAACATAGCTGATGTAGGATTGATAAGTCCAGGTTCTGGCTCAGGGGTATTTTCAGAATGAGGAGCAGGTAAATAGTCTAATGACAAGACCTGGTTTGCAACTTCTGAATGGTGTGCAAAAAACTGGGAATCAGTGCTTGCTTTTAGACCATTGTCAACTTCAAGGGAGGTCAGATTACTGTGGTATTGTGGAGTTGTTGCAGCATTCTCTCTACAGTCGTTGGCTCCAGATTCCGTGTTGAATTCTGTTTGAACCTCACAAACAGGATGAGTAGAATGTCTTTGTGAGTTGTTGTGGACAATTTGTGTTTGTTCATGAATGCCTATGTCGTGTTGTATTCCTGTATTTTGTCCCTGCTTTGTCCCACGTTGATGCAGAGTGGTAAAACTGTCTTCATCAAAGCTTGCTTTTGGCCCATCCCCATTCTTAAATAATTCACCAGTTGATTCGCCACATTGGTCAGTTTGTGAAAGCACGTCCCTTAGCTGTCAAAACAAGCAACAAAGCTTTTGATTATTAACATTGAACTAATTCAAGCACAGTAGCATTTGTACAGTTTAGACTGCTAAATTGCATTTCAGAGTTGCTTGGGAAAATTGCAAGAAATGCTTCTCACATGTATTTGAACTATTTGAACAAATCGCCACTCCCATTCCATAACTGTTTAAACAGACAGCTCAACTTCACAGTTGAGCTTTACATTCCACTGAAAAATACTCTGCATGTCAAAAATGCAAACATGGAGTGGAATGTATTCAAAGGGCAGTACAATAGAGATATTTCATTATATTTAAGATATGATTGATTAGTATGACATAGATTGTATCTTTACATCAGACATTCTCTTGCTAAAAAAATAAACAATCCAACTCTCATGTCTGCGTCTTAGCTTGAATGCGTACCTCTGTGTGGTGTTGATTAGCTGTGTTCTTTACGGCTTCATGTGTGCTGTAACAGTCACATTTGAGAAAATAATTTTTAATTAGCATATGATTTTTTAAATGAGCAAACATTATAAAAGTATGTAGATTAAAAAATACCTCCATGTTATATTTGATTTTCAAAATCTCAGCGAAAGATAAGTTCCCTCAGGCAGATAAGCAAACATTGAAAACTATGACGAAAACAAATCTCTTGTCTAATGCAATGTTTCACACGCTACTCTTACTCCCTAAATACTTCTTCTAGTTCAAGGTCTTTTATATATTCAGCAAGGCAACGCAGGAAAACAAGATCAATGACATTCCATCCTTTCTCTCAGTTTAAGCATTTTAGGAGTAAACAATTCATTGGCCTGACATGAAGGGAGGGGTCCATGGTTAAACTGTTTTAAAATTAGTACAGAGTGTCTCACACACATTAATGCATACAGTCAGATACACATACCACTTACACACACACAAAAAACCCTGTTTAATATCTGCTTTGAAAAATGAGAGAGCAGTGATGATGTCATACCTTTTAAACAAGATACTGTAATACTACCCAATAAATGTCTATTTATTGTTTCTAAGATCAAGGTGTAAAGACTTTATAAAGGTGTAAGCACTATTTGAAAGCATGAACACACCTAGATACGTTACAGCCAAACAGCAAATCTTTGCCTATACACTTTCACCCTATCATTCACCATCATTAAATCATGACTTATTGCTATATAAGGACTATTACTGCCAGTCATGGGTCAAAAGGGCATTTGCTGCTCTGGCTAGGACTGTGCAAATGACACAAAACACAAAGTGCTATGGCATAATTTACAAGACAAAAGATATTATTATGTGCAGTGTGTATTAAGTGGAATTACATTTTCATAAAACATTTACTAATTGGTAGACTAACAGTTTTGGAGTGAATGCTACAAATTTGATCATTCACTGAACTTGTTTATTATAGCAGTTGATCCAGTTTTATTATAAAATTGGATTTTAAACTAGATAAGCAATAATATTAGAATTTTGGTCAATGCCATATACTGATAATTATTTTCATGTTATAACTGATAACTGGTAAATGGCTGATTAAAATTATATATACAATTTGCACCTATACAATTTTGTTTAAAAACAAAAGTGAACACTAAACTTTTTAAAGCATGATGACCCCCCCAACAGCAGTGTGAAAATGTAAAAAAGAAGAAAATCAAACTCACAGGTTAGTTGTAGTTTTCAGTGTTTTTTCCTCCGCTGTGTCTTTTTTGTTTCTTCTATTGGGAAGACTGATAAAGATGGTGGAAATGAATCTGGCAGATTTCCTCTGCTCCTCAGATGTCCTACTGAGGTCTTCCTTAGATCTGAGAAGTATTATTTGCCTGATCTGCAAATCTGATCAGTTGAGAAGTGTTACACATATGCATATACGCATGCTTTATATGACATTAAATGCATGTCATAATAATAAACTTTTAGTCAGAATTTAATGCATTGGAATCTGAGCATGGGCGTCGCTAGGCCATTTTTAGGGTGCTATAGCCCCCCTAAAATGATTACTCAGCCCCCCTAAACATTTTGCGATTAGCTACATAAACTGTACACGAATTCGTGATCGCCTCAGTCCCCTTTAAATTTCATATGAAAACGGCGGCAGACTTCGGCTCCTCCCCGTCTTTCAGCGCGTTCTTCATTCCGCAGAGGCGCAGCGCGAGAAACAGAGGACAAGGTGTGTGTTTATCGATAGATTGTTACAATATCTGCATCTGTGCAGTTCTTTGTCATAAAGACAGCAAAAATATCTTAATTTGTGTTCCAAAGATGAACGGAGGTCTTACGGGTTTGGAACAACATGAGGGTAAATAAATAATGACAGAATTTTCATTTTTGGGTGACCTATCCCTTTAAACATTAGCCTACCTGCATTTACACCACTGGACTTTATTCATTTTAATCAGGTTCTCTTGTGTGTTAATAATACTTTCTCAGGTCTAAAACTTGTAACTTTTGGCCCCATCAGCGATCAGGTTCAGTCCAAATAGCCTAAAGGCCTGGTTTCACAGACAGGGCTTAGACTGAACCAGGATTTGACCATAGTTAAATTAGGACATTTAAGTAATTTTTATAAATGTGCCTTAGAAAAAAACACTACTGGTGTTCACCTTGAGACAAAACAAAGACATTGATATATTTTAAGATCAATCAGTGCAAGTTTCGTTCAGTGACACCAAGACTCCTGACCTGTGAAGAGACTGAGGAGAAATGATTGCCAAGCTCCTGTATAACAACACTTCTCAACTTTGGAGGGCCAAAGACGATTATTTCTGTTTTATCTTCATTAAGTCGAAGAAAACTACTGGATAACCATTTTTTAATGTCCACAAGGCAGGCCAATAAGGGTTTAATGGAATCGGCAGCTTTCAATGGTAGATACAGCTGAGTATCATCAGCATATAAGTGAAATGAAACGTTATGCCTCCTAATAATATCTCCCAAAGGTCACATATATAAATGAAAAAGAAGTGGACCTAAGATGGATCCTTGAGGTACTCCACAGATAATAGGAGCAATAGATGAAGAGAACTTACCTAACTCAACAGAAAAAGACCCGTTTTTAAGATGAACTGAACCATTTTAAAACAGTACCCCTGATACCAATCAAATGCTCTAACCGCCAAAGAAGAACATTATGATCAACTGTATCGAAGGCGGCTGTAAGATCGAGAAGCAACAGAACTGTATTTTTACCGCCATCAACTGCAAGTAAAATGTCATTCAACACTTTAAGCAAGGCAGACTCAGTACTATGATGGGCAGAGAAACCAGACTGGAGAGGTTCTGTTAACTTAGCTACATTCAAAAATTAGATCAATTGTGAGTATACAACTTTTTCTAAAAGTTTTGATAAAAACGAAAGCTTAGAGACAGGCCGATAATTATTAAGGCAAACTTCATCCAAACCCTGTTTCTTAAGCAAAGGTAAAGTAAAGGCATTTATGTTACAAAAGATTTCTATTTCAAATAAATGCTGTCAAGCAAATCTGGGATCCAATCAAACCTCTTATTAAACATTTTGAGGGTAAAATAATAACAAAAATGCTCCTGAACTATACTCTTAGCATTGATAAAACTGAAAATTGCAGTAAAACAACAAAATAATTGTACATTTCCCTTAATTTCTTTGTCAAAGTGCAACTGAGGTTTACTGAGAAGCAAAATACTGAATAAGTGGTGAATAAAATGGAAGGGAAAATCAATCCTAATTAAGATTTTTTCTTGTCAGTAATCAAGAGGGATTGCTGGTCAGGCATTCTGCTTATTCTGCAAGGATTAATAGGCCCAGAGCAGGATTCCTAATTATTTTATGTAGAAATACTAGAGGTCATCAATTAGACGCATTAGCCCCACTGGCTTAAGGCAAGAAGCCTGATTGTAGCTTTGCATTGCTTAAGGGTGTGCTATGCAGATGCACATACATAATATTGACGAATAAAATAATTGTGATGAACCACTCTATTGTGTAGGCAGGGTGGAATGTGTTCTATAAAGATGATGTTTGTTTCCAGACAAAGGCTAAATATTCAGCCACCGCAATTATAAATCTTGTCATGGAGTGATGCTTATCTCGATCCATTATAGCAATGCAATTTAAATCTGTAATAAAATCTAAACAGTTTTAATTAACTCTGCTGATTAAAACAGAAACCAATATAGTGCATAACTTGTATGATAAATTCATCTTTAGCCTAATGTCTCTCAGGTTTTTGGCACAAGCTCAGTTTGATCATGGTGCTGGTTGTAGTAGTCCGTCAGTTGGAGGGAGTTACATATTTCATGGATGGCTTGTCATCTGCTGTATAAATCAACTGACAGTGCTGGAAAATGCATTATCTCCTGGAGAGATTATGACAAGGCCAATTCATAACTGTGAATTGATTTTCTTAAATGCTGGCTGCAATATGGCAGTGTATTCAGAGCATGTATTGTGGTGGTTAGCACAATCGAGGGTTTAGGTTCCTAAAATAGTAATCACAAAATATAATCAGCAAATCAGAAAGACCTCAGTATATTGAATAGAACACATTTTGCTCCAGGTAATGAGTCAGTGCTTAACAAAATAGGTTCACACAATATCACTAAAGGTGTATATTAAATATATATTTTAATCTGATATTATTATTAGAGGCGGTGGATGAGGAGGTATATTACTAACCAGATAGTTATAATGGTTGTGGCATAGCTTGTAAAATCACAACATAAATAACCTTCATCATGGCACCAGTAAAAAAATATTCTTAAACGGTATTAAAGGATTAGTTCACTCAAAAGTTGAAGAGTTTGTTTGTTCATTGGAGAAAGTTAGCATTACATCACTTTCAAACGCTCCACCATCATCCCCGTCCCAAAGAAACCCAAGATAACAGGACTTAATGACTACAGACCTGTGGCCCTAACGTCTGTGGTCATGAAGACATTTGAGAAGTTGGTGTTGGCTTATCTGAAGGACATTACTGGTCCCTTACTTGACCCCCTGCAGTTTGCTTACCGAGCAAACAGGTCCGTGGATGATGCAGTCAATATGGGACTGCACTTCATCCTGCAATTTCTCACCAATGAATCCTATGCAGCTGAATGGGTGCCGTCAGAATGAGAGTTCAAACAGCTGATAAAAACATCACAATAATCCACAAGTAATCCACACGACTCCAGTGCATCAATTAATGTCCTGAGAAGTGAAAAGCTTTGTAAGAAACAAGTCTTTCCATAATATTGCTTTCTCCATTGAAAAAGTAATCTCGTCTGAATCAGGAGAGAAACATGCACAGATTAGGCATTGTTTACAAGCAAAAACAGCTGCTACTTTTTCACTTTTTTTTTTAATACTTTTTCACTGGTGGAAGCGTTATTATGGATTATAGACTGGAATTGTGGCCAGAAGCAATAGTGTAAAATTAAAATGATGGATTTGTTTCTTACAAACATGCAGATTTTCACTTCACAACACTTTAATTTATGGAATGGAGTTGTGTGGATTATTGTGATTTTTTTATCAGCTGTTTGGACTCTCATTCTGACGGCACCCATTCACTGCATGTGATCTATTGGTGAGCAAATGATCTAATGCTGAATTTCTCCAGATCTTTTTCCGATAAAGAAACTAACTCATCTACATCTTGGATGGCCTGAGGGTGAATAAATGTTCGCCTTTTTTTTGGGTGAACTGTTCATTTAATGCAAAACTTATTTGGGGTGAGTTGGAAAATAAACTGGACAGATCTATTGTACATTCAAAGGAAAGCCTTTGGCTTCAGTTGCAGAAGGCATTGGATAACATTTGTGTTGAAGTTCTCAGGAAATATATTGACACTATGCCAGAGAGATGTGCTGCAAAAGGTGGACATAACAAATATTAAAGTTAAAAGTGGATAAAAACAGTATGACTTACTTCATCTGATATTTGTTGTGCAGAGCAACCATCTGCATGTTTCATGAACGTTATGAAATGAAATCATGTTTTGGAGGCAAAAAGGTCAATATTTTCAGATCTGTCAGGTGTTCTAACAATTTTGGCCACCACTGTATGGTTCAGATAAGATTTATTTTGCCAGATATTGCCATGACTAATTAAAATATGGTCCATAAAGGGCATAAATTAGATGCTACAGTAAATAAAGTTGCCTTATGTACAGCTAAACTGCATCTAGCTGTAGTTAATGCAGTTCCCCTGTGGCCTCAAATCTACAGCTGATCAAAGCCTCAAAGTCTTTAAGATGCCTTGAGCTCATTAAGCACCAAGAACATCTTTATTAATTGACAAGACAATCGTTTAATTAAAAACCCAGAGCCCTGTCATTGTGCCAGGCTGAGAGAACATTTGAGCAGGATGCTTGTGACTGGTGACTCAGAGGTTAACCGTGGCAGCAGCCTAGCAGCCGTATTGACTTCTAGGTAATTATACTTAAGTGGTGACTAGAGGAGGCAAATGGCAGTAACAGATTATCTGTTTTGAGGGGATGCATTCTTAGAATCAATAAGAGTCCATTTGTGGAAATAGGGCAATTTAGGGGAAAACACACCCCTGTTCTTGGTCCTAACAGAAGTCATTTGCCCCTGCTACCATACTGTAGGTCTTTATTTTTTTTCCAAATCTCTCATAGTTAAATTAGGAAATAAAACAGAGGGATAAATAGAGAAAACAGTAGACATCAACAGCCTCTCTAAACAGCAGTTTTACCTTTGTAACTAAATATAAGGTTTGTTTTCCTGTGTCTAAAAACAACATATTAAAAATGAGGACGAGAAATGATGTTAACAGGACATACACTACCATTCAAAATGTTTGGGTCAGTAATTTTTCTAATCATTTAAATCATTAACATTTAAAAAAATAATTAAATCATACAATTGACCAAAATTGACAACAAAGACATTTATAATGTTACAAAAGATTTCTAAAATATATGCTGTTCTTTTGAACTTTCTATTCATTGAAGAATCATAAAAAAATGTATCAAAGTTTCCACAAAAATATTACTGTTCTTGAGCACCAAATCAGCATATTAGAATAACTTCTGAAGGATCATGTGACACTGAAGACTGGAGTAATGGCTTTTGAAAATGCAGCTTTGCCATCCACAGAAATAAATTACATTTGAAAATATAACAGAACAGTTATTTCATATGCTAATAATATTTCACAATATTACAGTATTTTTAATCAAATCAATGCAACCTTGATTAGCATAAAAAATTATTTAAAAACCACTAAAAAATAAGACAAAAACTTTAAAACGGTAGTGTATGAACATTTTAACTGCTATTGCACTGCTATTTTTTTTATTTGCATACTTTCATGTGTTAGCCTACAGACATGCTGCCCTTCCGGCTCACACAGTAATTACTGATTACATTAATTCTGGTACAAGCATCCAGTCACCAGCTGATGTCAGCCCACGGAGCCAATGCCTTTTGGGACAGGGACGCTGTTGGGGAAGTCAATGACCTCTCTAAGTGATGAGAGAGAGCAGAATGAGATTGCAGCCCGGTCCATTCGGGTCTCAGAGGGGTCATAAATAGATTTGCTTTTTAAAGAAGTACTTTTCCCTGGCTGATTTTACCGCACTTACACTTTCCTCAAGCCCTTCCTACTCTGGTTCTTTGCTCAATTTGCACACAAACACCCTAGAAGATGAAAGAACAGAAGCAATTTCTTGTGACGGATGGGGAAGACTCCTCTCAAATGTAGCCGACACTCGGCTTGCCCGATTTACAGGGCCAAATCACTTAGACTAACTCTTACAGTCAATCAATTGCATTTACATCTATTGCGACTCGGCCAACCAGACTCTCCCTAGGAGACAGCCATTAATTGGCTTGTGCAGCGGTATGGACCACTGATCAATCCCAATCAACCCATGTGAAACGTTCATAATAGAGCACTAATACTTATGCAAGCCTAGCCAAACTCACACTTACAATATCCCAGAAGTGAATTATAGCAAAAGATGATACGGGTCAATTATCAGTTGGGTTGGATATATGAGTTATTGGAGATGGAAGTATATGCGTATAGATTTGAACACAGAGACTCTTAAATGGATCCCAGGCACTCCCGTTTAATGTTCCTTTAATCTCACATTGCCAAACCGTAGGCTTTAATCCAATCAGCAAAGAGCTTGTTCTCATTTACCCAGAAGGCTTGAGGGGCTCAGCATACATCTGTGGTGGGGTGAGCCATGACGGGATGGTGTCTTTCACCCTGTACATGTCATTTTTCACAGCTTGAGTTTTCCCTCTTGCCCTCTTTAGAGACCTCCATTCTAAGGAACCTAGAAGGAAATATGATGAAATAAGTCAATACCAGCTATCAATGGATTTTTTCTGTTTTAAGACACTAAAGCAATCTACATTTTATGATTGCTCAGAAATAATCCACTCATAGGATTAATTAAATTAAAATTGAGCTTATTTTTAGGTACAGTAATGCTCAGTGGAACCAAATGCGCTCTGAGATTTAATAACCCATTGACACGTCGTTTTCAACTAGCTTGTACTCTTGACAATAAGAGTACATGCTAATAAGGAAATATGTTAATTGGGTCAAAGTTCATAGGTCAGGTCATCCTAAGGTGGCACAAATGAACAGTACAAGTGTTCTGTACTGCTAGTCAGATTTCCAATAGAGTTCCAACTCAGCAGCATCTTAAAAATGTGTCAGCATCTCAGGCTGGGGTCTCAGAGTGGTAAAAGTGTCACAAAAAACATGAATACATTTAAAGCCAATCTCTTAAAAAGGGTCGCAGCATCTGTTGACACAAAGCAATAACATTAGATTCCTTTGGATCCACCTCTTTTCACAGGAAAGCACAGTTCAATCCTTTAATGTGAACCATGCGTTCCCTAAACCTGATGCCGCTGATTACTTCTGGGCAATTAAGCGCACTGATAGAATGAACTCAGTGTGACTTGGATGCTTGATCTGAAAAGAAGACAAGACAGAGAGGGGGAGAAACAGTGAGCAGCAGATGATGAGAGCGGAGAGTTATGTGATGTTCTGGCAGAGCTTGCAGACTGGGCCCATTGTCCGGGCTTGCAAAATCAGCACTACCCCATTCCTCTGGCCCAGTTAAGATGTTCTTCATGCAAGCTGGCCGGCAGTGCACTCAGCTTCCTTGTTTTTCGTGATTGCCTGACATTTCTTTTCTCTTCTCTTCTGCTGGTGCTTCCTGCCAGATCTCCTTAATACCTCCGCTGACAAGGGTCCTAGTAATAACGCAGCTGCCTTTTTGTTGATAATGTGTCACAGAATATCTCGGTGTCGTTATCGAACACTCAAGGAGCAGAATGGCATTTTCAGTGGGAAATAAGTAATCGATAGGGAACAGCAAATTAAGTAATAGCATTTTTGCGTCGATGCATATTACAGCTCAGTTAACAGCCTTCGGATCGGCAAGGCTCCGCGCTGCTGGATGAACAGATCAATCCGCGCACAAAGCTGACGCCTCGCTTTGACAACATAATTAGTTATCATACAGAGAAACGTGTTTGAGGACTATATGAAAACCTCCCTCGGATATTCAGCTCATTGATCAGAACCATGAAGAGGCGGTCAGGGAAACCATGTGATCCTCTATGAGGAAAACAACTTTTTAAAAGTAAAGAGAGATAAATAACTGAGATGAAGGGTGTCAGCTGAGAAGAGATGATTTTGTTAATGGGAGGTCTAACAGGAAACCGTATACATCTATTTATGTATTCACATAATTTTGCTGTCAATCCTAATTCACTTCGTTTTGTTTCTAAAACGGTAATTGTATTATTTTATGGTACTTTATATTTAAATAAACTGGAATCCTCTATTCTGATTGGTCAATTGAAGCTTTCCGTGGTCAAATATTTTTGTATAATTACTTCAAAACTGTTCTCTTTTGAAAACTTGAAAAATTTCTCTTTTCACATTATAAAAATTTCAAATCAGTATTTATGTCTTTATTTATAGCAGTGCAATAAGCAGGATAAAGTAGCCTAAGACGGTTATTATTGCAAAATAAACCCCCAAAAGGGTAATTAAGGCTCAATGGAAAGAACATCTAGTGACCGGCTGCATTTGCATTTTCCTTTACATGAAATGTAATTACCTTCACTTGTATAAATGTGATATTGTTATGAAAGTTGTTGACCATCCAGACCTACATTAACCTTACATCAGGATCGAGACAACTGAGGTCCCAGGGTACCTAATTAGACTTTTAGTTAAATTTGTTAAAACTATAAACAGAAATACAATTAAAATGATTTAAAAAGAAAAATGTCACTTGTCTAAAATGTCTAAAAGGTTGCCTATACCATGGGTCATACATGAAACTGATACAAATCCATCTGTTTATACTGCAGCATGATTGAATTATAGCCTACTGACAACTTTGACATATACAATCGCCGGGTCTGTATATCTTCGATTTTGTTTCAACCCTACGAACGGAAACATAATAATTCGGCTGCGTCTTCTTGGTTCTCTAAATTGGATGCATATTATTCAAGAGTGTTTTCACCTCCACCATTGACCCAGTCACGCTTAAATCATTTTATACACTAAAACTGTGTGTTTGTGACCTGCCCCATCATGCACCTTATAACTGGAGAACGCGAGTCGACCCTGAGACGCGTTTCATTTAATAAAGGAGGTGATGAACATCTGCTCCCTGTTCGATTACCTGCAGTACAGCCCAGCCAGCCACGCGCTCGAGAGTGTAGGCGCGTGTCTCTCTCTCTCTCCAGAATTCAGAGGCGCTTTTCAGAGTGTCAGACTAGCTCGGTGGAAATCATGTCTTTGAACACTATGAAGAAGAGACTCTTCCAATAAACGTTAAAAAGGCGCCTGACTGGAACAAGTCTGTTTGAAGTTCACTCCATTATCTACTCAAGTGAAACACGCAAGGATGCGCGCGGCAGTCGGAATCCTTTGTGCTTTGACGTTCCTTGTCTCGTGCAGCCATGGCGCGAGAGTTGTGAGCGGTACGTTTTAGTTTATTTACTATGAAGCTATTTTCATTCATATAGTTTCTTTCAGAATTGAAACCACTGAGGATAAATGTATCAAAATATTCAGTTATCTGTGGTAAAATTGTGCTCGAATGATAGCTATTAGTCAAGTTTAAAGGGTAGTTCAGACAAAAATATTATTTAATAATCCTCAGATTGTCTCAAACCTGTATGACTTTTTTAGACAGAAATGAGAAGTTAAGCAGAATGACATCCTCAGTCACCATTCACTTTCACTATAGAA